GGGGGGGGGACTGGTTCCGGGTTGTGGATAGCGTGACACTAGTCTCCCGGGGGCTGTCTCCCTCAGGTCGGGGTACGAGCCCCAACGAGGGAGTCTTGTCTAACATGGCTAGCTTGCCATGTGGGTCTATCCATGTGTCTCTAAATGCCCGAATGTCGTCGTCCCTCAGCTATTGGTCTGTAGTTGTGGAAATAACCTGTTTAAGTTTGTGCCATGCATTTTTAATATTAGTCCGGGTAGATTAAATGATCTCAGATTTTGCTTCAGAATCTAAAAAGCCAAATGTATGTTCATGTCTCTGAAACGAGCATCGTGCTCTCCATATGACCATCAATATTGCCAGTCTGGTCGTATGGTATAACGTATGTTTGAATAGTGTTCATTTTGAGGTCGATGGAAGCGGCGTTCCTAACAGCCCTGCACAAGGCTGCCAGGGTAAATTCTTCCCTGTCAATGATCGTCAGGCCGCATCCCACCACCTCCATATCTGGGACGACATCGGACATTCCAACAAACAATGTTATAGGACTGCTCTTCTGGGGGGGGACGACCTCCTGCAGTAGGAACAGATTGGTGAGAGGACTCCTTTCTGTTCCAGTCTCGACCTGGATACCAACCAGTCTGGTGTTGGTAAGCACCGATGCCAAATCTGCCATTGCAGTGCTCGCAGTGAGGTTGGCATGATTCCTGCTATTTTAGTCCATGGCGGATTTGGTATCTATTCGGTGTCGGGCGGCCAAAGTCAGTCGGCCACCCGAAATAGGACAATTTGAAGAATCAATTGATCAGACAGTAGAAATTTGAGGGTTAGTGTTAAGGGACGAGCGGAAAAGAAACAGGGCACCTAGGTCGACCTTGTTTTTCGACCCGTCTCTCGCTGACACTAACCCTACTTTTATTCAGATGAATGTACTAATTTATCTCACCCTTGACACCCCTACCATCGGCTTATTTTCCTCTTATTTCTATTCCCTCCATACCCGGGCGCCGACGTGTGCGTGGGTCTTCGCATCGAATCGCACGGTCGGTTCTTCGCGGCCGGATTGGGACGATTTTTTTATTTTTTATTTTTTTATAAATAAATTTAAGAACGCGGTCGAAATAATCAATGATGAAAAAAAACTCAAAACCCGCGATCTTGAATGATACTTTATTTTTATTTTATTTTCCCCTGATTATGTAACCCCCCCCGACGTTTGTTCCAATTTAGGCTATTTTGTTACTCCGCTTATGACCCCTGTTGCCAAAATGCGAGTGATCGTTATTATTATTATTATTATTATTATTTTTATATAATTAAAAGTGCAGAGAGCGCGGTGCAGCGATTGGCTATTTTGCGGTGTATGGACCTGCTCATATGGGTCTCACTTGACCGTCGCGGTATGGGCTCCGGTCTGGAACCACGACGGCCACCGGTTTGGCACAGGTACGGTTCACGGATGCGGCTCGTCCGTGTGGTTTATTGGTACGGTTCATTGACACGGTGCATTTGTACGAATCAATAGCACGGTTCACTGTACTTGGTGTGGATCACGGTGAGGTTCATTTGGATGACCCGTTGCAACAGGTCCAACCGACTCTTGTCGAGTCTCGGTTGGAGGTGCATACCTGGATCGGATTACTGCCGACTGTGTGGATGGAACCGCCACTGGGCCAATGACATCTGCGGTACCGGGACTGCAGCGGACTGTGCTGCTACCACCGGCCCTGCATTGACACTGGGACGGCAACTGGCGGGGGCTGCCAGTATGGCAACTTTGCCCGGCCTGGAGCTGCACCA